GGAAGTGACAACTAAATGAAAGAAGAGTCGATGGACATTTTGTGGAGGAATGACCCAAAACTTCGAAAGTTTATGAGACGATGCTCGTTAAAGCTCCAACAAGCATCCACCCAGTTCAAGCAGCATGTGGTATTTGAGAGACTGGCGAATAGTAAGGATGGTCTTTTCCTTCATCTGGAGGATCCGCAGGAATCAACAAGGATCAACACAACTCAGCCAACCCCACACTAGAGTCAAAGTCATTGGCGAGTTGAAACAGCATAGTGGATCAAAAGTTCGACTACTCAACAACAGCAGCGGAGAGCAGTTGGGAGCCAAGAGGCACATTGCAGCTGGAGCAGAAGATTGAAGACTCAGCAAAGGTGAGGAGTTGCAGTGTCGGCAAAAGGCTTCGACGAGGACGTCGAAGGAATAAGTGGAGGAGAATGTCACGGATAAAGTTCTAAACATGATGTTTGATGTAATACTTATATATGTCCGTGTCTTTTGGTATTTTCATGCTTTGCACAGCATGTAGAGGGACAACCGAAGGCTTAATAGTCCTATTTTAGTTGGGTTTGGTGGCCGGTTTAGGCTTATAAATAAATATTGTGTCATGTGGACACTTGTGAGAGATTTTCGGTCTGTAGTGGACCATTTTGACCCTTTATTGTGCAAATGTTTAGAGCTTGTAAAGTCTGTTTGTAATTTGCATTATCTATGAAGTGTTTCCTAGAATGTTTGCTTGTGGATCCCGAGTGAGGCGCTTTCTCCAACCCGTTTTCTCTTTTGTAGGTCCTAAGGGACCATGGGAGGTTTCGGGGAGGCTGACCTTTGCAAACGGGCACGCAAGGGTGTCGCACGACTTAGGCAAAACCAGCTAAGTCCGTGACAGTGTGGACAGCACGAAGGGGCAACCCCTTCTTGATTGTATAGTACGTACGAGGAAGAGATTTGGGCAGTGATTTGAAGAGCATCTTCGCAACCCCTACCGTGTGAATCACCACTAGAGAGGACGGTAGTTGACCTCCTTCGTCCTCTCTCACAGATATGCAGATTTTTAGAGATATACGATCTCCCTAGGTAACACATCTTTCTTATACGTGCAATTTTTTCGGTTTTGCGAGTTTTTGCGCACCAATCTTTGCCACATCTTTCTTATACGTGCAATTTTTTCGGTTTTGCGAGTTTTTGCGCACCAATCTTTGCACGACAATAAAACCTTATTTTTCTACGGGAATTATGGGATTTTGTTTTCTATTCTTCCGCTACGCATGTGATATCGCCCCAGATTTCCCAACACTTCTCACCACGATCGACCTTCGCATCTCATGCAAGCCAATACTGGTGACCTGCGCTTACCACAACCTCACTGCACACTACCACCGCACATAATCTTTGCGCTAATTACTTTTCGGGTATGCCTCTTCTCTTCCTCTTCCTCTTCCTCTTCCTCCTATTGCCTTCTATTCCTCCATTATCTCCTCTTCTTCCTCTTTTCTCCCTCCTCCACCTACCCTTCCGGTGTACCGACACCTAGTACCCTGGTGTTGATCAGTATGTACCAATCCAACAGAATAACCGAAATGAGTCTAACACTTGTAATGGCGATCCTTGGAATAAACATTCTTTAAAAAGCTTAGATTTAGAGATATACAATAGCAGCAAGTTAAAAATAATAGACTTCTTAAAATTTGAGAAAATGAAGTAAATGAATTTTTAAGAAAAATAAAAATAAGAGCAAGGAACACTGTATCGTGCCCATCGAGCCATCAATCACTAGGTAGACCGATACATAGCGATCAGTAATAGTACCATGTGTTGGTATGCCATTTCATACCCATTGTTCGAAAAATGGCCAAAAAATGATAAGAAATTCAAAAACCCCATTTTTTAGAATTTTTCCTAATGTATTGATATATAAATTAAATTTAAATAGGAATAAAGTGTATCTAAGCCATAAATGAATAGAAAATCTAGGTTATCAAGAGGCAAAATTGAATTTATCTTTTTTCTTAGGAATTTTAATCACTAATCTAGAGCTTGATTACCACTAATCGTCGAATAGGAGTTTTAATCATAAGTGAGTGTGAGAAAATGAGTGTGCATGAGTGAAAGAGAGTGAGTGAATGGGGGGGGGGCGAGGGAGGGAGGGCGAATTAATGCCCCAAAAGAGGCCCTAAAATGGTCAATTTGATCATTTGGGCCAGATTTGACCGGGTCAGATTTATAATAGGCGAGTTTCGATCATATTGACCAATACACCATCAATGCCGACAAATATCAGGCTAGTTTTCTATATACCATCCAAAACAAGCTAGTACATGTATGCTTAGCAAGTGAACTGATACATACCACACATTTTGTACCATTTCAGGCAATACATCAAACCTTGCATAAGAGTGGGAATCCTAAAGTTATCCTTATTGAGATTTGGAAGAATTTTGAAAATCCAACAATGGTCTGACTTGATCAACTAATTTATTTAATATTTTTTTAAAAATAAATTTTTTAATGAATGAAGAGATTTTAATACAAATTTATAAAAGTAATAGAGACATTAAAATCTGCTTTAACTACAAAGGAATTACAATAATAAAGCATATTATATAACTTTGAAAATTGTAGATATAATAAGATGCAAATGAATATTTCCAAGAACCGATTTAATTTTATACCAGAAAGATCAATCATAAAAGCTACTTATATTTTTATCAAGGCAATTAATGATAAAAAATGGAGAAAAGAGAAAGATTTACTATGATTTTTATTAATTAGAAAAACCATATGATAGAATCTTAAATATTTATTATGGTGAACTTCAAAAACAGATTAGTGTATCCACTTGTTAATATCATAAAGACAGGTATTCCCTACTGCAACCCGTTTAGAAGTTTTCAGCATATAATTGAAGTAATTAAAACATATGGTTCTAACTTGAAGCCTCCAAGTACCATGAGTTCAGAGTTTCATATTTGTAAAATGAGCTGCATTACATAAATAGTTTGATGAAGAGACAGAAGGAAGCATGGGCAAAACATGATTGTTCAATTGTGTCATATGCATGGATCGATAAGATGGTTACATCCTAATTTTATGAAATCTGGAGAAAAAATATTTAAATTGCTTGATAAGCTTGTCGACAAAATTGGATAGCAAAATGTGGTTCAAGTGATATCAAATGATGAAAGCAATTATATTTTAGCTAGTATGATATTTTCTTTAAATATTTTAATTATGTTATTTTTGTATTTTCAAATAATTATCTATTTTATTTTCTTCTTTATTGGGGAAATTATTACAAGCAAAAAGGTTGCACTTATATAAAGGACTCCATACGCGACACATTGTATTGATCTTATTAAGAGGATATGGGAAAGATTATAAATATCAAGAAAATATTAGAGATCAGATAAGGCAATTTTTGTTATGAGTTTTATATATAATCATATCAAAGCATTGAATATGATGAGAAAATTCACAGACAACAAGGAATTGGTGAGGTATAGTATCACACAGGGTCTGTCGTACCGAGCCGTATCGCCCGGTACGGGCGGTACGTACCGGTCCGACAGGTTTTCGGTACGCGGACCAACTGTTACCGTTCCGAGGTACTGTAGCACTGTAGCATGTAACAGTGCTACAGTACTCGGTACACCCAGGTGTACCGCTCGGTATACCGTACCGTACCGGTACCGAGCCCAGATCGAAATACCGGTACGGTACGATATTGCGAACCTTGGTATCACATGATTTGTCAATTCATTCCTTTCATTCTTGACAGTGTATAGTATTCAAAAACAAAAACACAATATTAGAAATATGTTTACTTCAGAGAAATGGGTGACAAGTAAATAGGCAAAAAAAAAAGCAAAAGGCAGCAAGGCAATTGATATCATCTTGATGCTATTATTTTGCAATCATATGATTTGTGCATTAAAAGTGATAGGCCCTCTTGTTTGAGTACTTTAGTTCACAAATAATGAGAAATCCAGTAATGAGATATCTTTATAAGGCTATAAATAGAACCAAAGAAACAATTCAAAAATTTTTTGATAAAGATGAAGAAAATTATAAGAATATCTTTACAATCATTGATGGAATATGCATATGTCAACTTCATCGTCGAGTAAGACACTATTTAAACCCTAAATTCTTTTATAAGAACCCTTCTATTTATAAGTTATATCCGGGTTATATCAATGCAATGCAAGATTGGTTCGCAGCATTTAAGTTCAAGACAATATCACAAATGAGTTATCTTGAATGCTAAGGGTATGTTTGAAATTCTTATGGCAATTTGATCAAGGGCTACAAAGTCCCCATGTATTTAAAATTTTATACGATTAACATTATATAAATTTTTAGAGTAAGTTATTATTAATAGTTGAACTTCAATTTGTAGCTGAGTGGTGGGGCTTATTGGAAGTAAAACACCAAACTTGTTGCAATTAACTCGAAAAATTCCGAGTTTGACTTGTAGTGCTATAGATTGTGAGAGAAATTAGAGGTTTTGAGAATGTATATATATATAAGAACATTTTAATTTCAACTAATTTATTCTCTTTTAGACAATGATGCAACTAAATGGATATGACAGATTCATACAAAGAAAAGAAGTCGACTAGAGAATCAACGATTACATAATCTGGTGTAATCTAAATCTCGTCTACTTGTTTCTTTGTAATTTAAATCTCCTTGTTTCTTGTTATCAATAAACATGTCTTCAGAACAAACTGACTTCATGTAAGCAACCCAGAAGCAGAGAAATTATAATGGTCAAGCAATTGTCTTGATCCAGAATCTCCAGGAAATATCTAACTAAATACATTTTCAGACTTGCATTATGATCACTCAGATATATTGTTAAACTACTTAGTAGAACAAATTTTAATTTTTATCTCACAGATAAGCAATGAGACATGCTGCTGGTAAATAATGGATTGGGGTGCATAATAGTACTATCGAACATAAAAACAAAACAGGATTCAGATCAAATAGGAGCATAAGACAAGAAGCACCTTTGGAGTTCAAAACACTTTGTGCACTGCTGTAGATTATCTCGTCTAGTCAAAGAAGGAGATGAAAGACAAGCATCCGCCATGGAAATTGTCTGAATCAACATATGTTCTCCTTGTAGTGTTAATGAAGTGTTCAAATCAAGATCACAAGTCAGCTTTGCACTTCTAGGAGATGCTGAAGTATCCCCACTTTGTTGAATAACATCAGCAGTGAAGGGTCTATTTTGAAAAGCATGCTCTGCAGGCTGTAATAACCCAAAATCTTCTGTATTTAACTTACATGCATCAATTTCGTCACGATCAATGTCAGTCTCTCTCTGAAACATGCCATTGTCATATTCTTTGGCAATATTTCCAGCTAGAGAAGGCTGCAGTGAACTAGTACTGTTATCAGCATATTTGGACTCACTTAATTCAGTTAACTTTCGCTTCACGTTAAAACAAGATGTACTTGCTCTATCAACTCCCTGGACCAACTCTTCAAGCTCTCTTGAAACTGAACTAGAACCTTCTGCAGTTTCTTTTAATTCTTTATCACAAGGATTCACTATAGGCTCGTCACACTTTCTTCCACTACACTCATCTCCATGCTCTACTACTGCTGCAGAATCAGCAGCCCTTGAAACACAGTCATGCAATGGTTCTGTGGAATCTAGAATTATCCAAGACAGAGAATCAGATAGCAAAAAAATGAACGATGAAATCAAGTGAGATGCTGAACAGAGGACCATATTGAACTGGTTGCATTGAGATGGTGTCATGCAAACAAATAGAAATTATTAGTTTAATGTAACATCTAAATGTTGCAAAAGAAGTAAAATTCAATAAGGTTTATTTTATTCCAATTTTAGAGAGCAGAGTCAGCAGACAAGATGCCAATGAAATATACTTGTGGATTTACAGGCATGAAATACCTGAAATTTTGGCCTTTTTAGTTAGTGGTGTAAATAAAGCTCTATAACTCCGGGCATCCATTCTCGTTCGGTTTTTTAACAATCGGCTACTACCACTGCTAAGCTTCTTAGACTTGTTCGTTCCTGTGGTGCCTGAAACTGATTTTGTTTTTTCATTCTTCACCTCGTTCACTTTCTTCTTCACCAAAGGAGTTGAGCTTTTTCCAGACAGCTTTGAACCTGAGGAACTTGATGCGCAGAACCTCTCAATCCTCTTTGACCGTCTTAGCGGACTATGATTCTTGACTTCCATATCTGAACCCCTTTTCTGCAAAGGGGTTGACATATTTTGCTTCTCAAGCCGTTCTGATTTCCGCAAGATAGGACCCAACACGCTCGCTTTCTTGGTAGTTGTTTCCCTAGCAGATCTCAAATTGGAAGAATCCGTCGCTGCTGAACTCGTGGTAGTCAGAGTCCTGCTGTCTTTCGCTTTGCCACTCGAAACTTTGGTTTTAGGGCTAGCATTCGTCGTCGAACCAGAAATGCTCGAGTCAATTATGTCTTTCCTTTTCTTGCTAGCGCGTCTACTCGTCGAGCTGCTAGTATCCTCGTCCTTCTGAGATTGACCACGGGCCATATGTTCTTGCCAGTCACACTAAAATCACAAGAAGTTTCAGCTTCCGCCAACCAATTAAGTAAAGAATTGAACAACCCTGGCCAACTAGGATGTTTTAGAAACAGAAATGGGCGATCAATACCAAATACATTTTGGTTGAATCAATAAGGATCTAAACAACATTGCAGAAGAAGAACATCGCAAAGAAAAAAGAACGGGAAAAGAAACCCTAACCTGCCGCTCACTGGTAGAAAAAAAAACCACCACAACCACGGATCTCCAACGCCGTCCACCCGGTAAACGATGCAGCAGCCGTCGAGCGACGCCGGGAGGCGAAGGGAAGGGCCAGTGGTGCTTCCAAACACAAGGAGGGGTTTTTCGCAACATTATTGTTTGCAACACCTTCCATGTTCTTTAGTATTAACTTTGAATACTCTAAGTTATCATTTTGTAAATAAAGATATATATTTTAAATTTATAATTTAATTTTAATAAAATCTTTTTACTTCTTATCTATAATTCATCTTCTTCCGGTTGTTTTACTCCTCATTTTCCTCCTCAAAGTTAAATAAAATGACAAAAAAAAAATAAGATAAATTGAAAATAAAAAATAAGATAAAAATAATTTTTATATTTAGTATAATAATTTTAATATTTTTAGGATTATATATTTTATAATAATCTAATAGGGTTATCTGTATTTGATGTTCATTATAATAATTTAAGTTTTTAAACTATCCTATAGGATATGCAAGTGATGAGAAGACAATAAAAATAGACGAGAACTATGGAGAAGAAAAAAAAAAGATAAAAATAAAATTAGATATATTATAAATAATAAAATATTATTTTATTAATTTTTAAAAACTTATAAATAATAAAAAATTATGAATAATAAAAGAGATTTTAAATAATAAGCACCATAATAATTGGGACGATGCGAGCAATTTCCCCCCTCCACCCCCCCCCCCCTACCCTTGATTGACCTGCTTCATTTTTGCAATTGCTTTGGCTAATACTTGAGGGAAAAAAAACCCCTCCGAACCGAACCAATTCCCTCTTTCCTTTGCTGATTAGCTCAGCGTGCCAGTATTTAATATTGATCTGATTATTGACAATCATAGCAAATGATTTGATTATCAAATATTATGAATCATAGTAAATGATCTGATTATTTGACTCTTTACGTTTTATATAGGTTTGATAACCATATCATTTGGGTATTAAGGTCCAAAAAGGATAATAAAGATGCCAACAAAGCAAAATTAAGCATAGGTAAGTTTTTACTTATATATTATTAAATTATATTATTTCATATATATGCATTATCATTTTTTAAACATATGTTTGTAGTACATTTATCTACCTAAATTATCATATGTGGAAGAGAAAGAAAAGAAAAAAAATCTTTTCCAAACGGGATGATAGCTAGTCATAGTTTATTGATCATCTTTAATACTTCTCTCTCACACCAACTAAGCATAATAGAGGTTTTTTGATTAATTTTACTAAGATAATATCATTTTGAAATTCTAAAATGTACCCCATTTAGATATCTTATAGATATTTTATTTTGCTCTTTCTGGAGTATTTTTATCATGCATTCTTGAGTGATAGGATAAAGATAACAGGTTTATAATTAATGGGGTTCATTTATCATTCTTGGTATTCAATGTTCATATTCTTCTTTGTTCACTAAACAGAGAACATCGAATTGATTTAACAATAGTATTCATAGAGTTAAGCAAAATGAGATGATGTTTGTCGATTATTTAAGAAGTTACTTACTCCTATCATGTGTATAATAAATTATTTTGTATGATAAATTATTTAGATAAAATGAGATGATGTCTATCGGTTCTACCAAATATCTTAGCATTTATCTTGATTGACTGATAAGGGTGATATTGTGAGCATATGTGTCAAGCTTTAAATTAACTACTGATATAGAATCTCAGTGATTATGGAAATAATCAAACAATGGCATTAGAAAGCAATCAATAAAATATTATATATGATCTCACTTGAACACGTAAATATCAATACCATATGTGTCCATATATTATCTAAACATCTCCTGATATTTTTTTTTTTTTACATAAAGAGTTATACCCATTGGAATGTAAGGGGTATTTGTTATATGATTTTATGTCACTTGTTAAGGTAATTATATCATTAGTGGTCACAATATATAGTGATATTATGATATTAAGGTAATTAACCCATTTCGCATTACGTAGGATTTACAAGTTGATATCCTACAAGAGGATTTTCCAATGGATGACTTAGTATATGATGTTGCACTTGAGGTTATCAGACCATCAGAGCCAACTTTATGTGATACCACAGCTTCCAAATGTAATCTTGTGATTGATATCTTTGGGAAATAGCTCACAACCTTGGTAGAACATGACTCGATGATATTGTATTTGAATTCCTTAGTAACGAGAGGAATTTAGAACAGAAACTAGATAGGTATCCTACAAACCTGGCTAGAGGTTACAATCCCAATAAATTAAGGAAGAAAATGAAAAACAAAATGAAGAGTGTTGACAATAAGAAGAAGCTTGAGTTGAATAAAACTGTTAAAAATTTGAGAGGGATAAAGTTGTGTCCAAGGAAGCTGTTGTGGAGAAAACGTCTTATGGAAGTCTAAATGTCCATCGTCCTATTTTTTTCTAAGATTTATAGATCAATTTGAGAAAATTCGATCATAAATAGGTTAAAATTTTCTATCTATACCTTATTTTAAGGATTAAGTTGATATTTTTTCATAGGACCCCTTTAATATAATCATAGATTCATGTGTGAAATCTTCACATGAAAAGAAAAACCCTAATTATACTATTTTTTAATAGGATCCAAAAACAATATAACCCTATTCAAAATCAATAAATAATCATCTTTTTTATTTTTTTAATATTAATATATCAATTGGAGAAAATTGAGTCATAAATAGGCTGATTTTTTTTTAAATTTCTACTTTAGGCCTTATTTTGAGGACTCAAGATGGGACTTTTTAAAATACCAACTCTTGTATCGTTAGACATGTATTTTTCAGAAAATTACATATATTTTTTACCACAGTTATACTATTTTTTAGTGATTCTATCCTTAGAAGCTTGAAAGTCTAAAATTTTAGGAATTTTACAAATTAAAGCACAATTTACAAAAATATTTGCATAGTACTGCATAAATAATTCATACCAAGTTTTTTATTTGATTTGATAAGAAAATGCAAACAAAAAATAACCAAAAATATATTGTCACAATGTAATATTTCAAAGATACAACAAGAAGCACAAAAATCATATATGGTTGCTAATTTTGTGGAAAATATGCATAACGATTATGTCCATATTTTTTTTATCAAAGATAATTTTACCGAATTGAATTGAGATCAAGATCAATCTTACCCATTGAAGTGAAATACAATATAAGGCAAAATTTAACCATTAAAGCATCGATCTTATCCATTAAAGCAAGAGGTAATGCCGTGTGATCAAGATCAGCACACCACTTTGACCAAGTCCTAATCTAAGTAGGACTTCGGCCCCAACAAAGAAGGATGGCCAGATCAAAGCTATGTGGTAGGAGACACATACAACTCCGTGTGCGCATGAAACTCGTGTGCCTAGAAATACCTCTTCACCCAATCTCAAATGAGTCTCGATTTCTTCATGACTCCAGCTAATCACAACTACTTGGGGGAAACAGTAGCTTTGAACATAAGAAAAACCCAACTTAACCAGAAGCCAGATTGTTGGAGAACCTGTTAGGACCGTAAATAACACTAAAAGGAGGATGAATTAGTACTTTCATAAATTTTCATCGATTTAGAAAACTCTAATCGTTCAAATTCGTATCAGAAAGATGTTTAACTTATTATAGAAAAATCTAGGGGGCGACATCACATGCATAGCGGAAAAAAAAATCAAAAAAATTTAAATTTTCAAAAATATGTTTGTCATCGTACGAAGATTTGTGCGTAAAATCCGTGAAACTTAAAACCACACATGAGATTATTATGTTACCTAGGGAGATAGTATATCCTAAAATTCCTATAGATTTGTAGGAGAGGATGAAGGAGGTCAAACGTCCTCCTCTTTAGCGGTGTTCCGCATGGTGTTCCGCATAACAGGGCTGCAACGATGCTCATCAAATCTCCAGGTCTCCTATCTGAAGAGGAGAAGGGGAGAGAAAAATAGGAGGTGACAACTAAGAAAACATCTAGCCTATGAGTCTTTGGTTCCCTCCTATTTATAGAAGTCTCCTGTTAACTTAACCCTAATGAATCATGCCCTATTGGGTATTGGATCTCCATCCAATTACCCAAGCCTATTAGATTAGTGGATCTCTATCCAATAATCTCTCATTGGCTCTTATTCGATCTCATCCATAGGATCCAATAATTCAGGGACTTATTGGATATTCAATAAGATAGGGGCTCCAACGGATATCTCATATCCGAATCTTTAGTTGTCGCAATGCATGTGTGTGACCCTTTAGGCCCAATATCGAGCTGTCCGTGAGTCATACCTATTAGAACTCTTTCTAGCTCAGTAAATTATTATGACAACAACCAGATGATTAGTAAGCCACTGGCCCCATCTATTCCTAACCAAAGCCTTGACACCCGAAGACTAACCCAAGAAGAACTCAATGAAAGATTAGCAAAGAGTTTGTATTATGATGAAAAATGGAGTATGGAGCATCGATGTAAACAAGGGCAACTTCTGATGATTGAACCAATTGGAGAGGAACCGAAAGGTAAGAATGTGGACTCCGATCATGAAGGTATAAATTCTAACGCAGAGGTTGGACCTACTATACATACAATGCATGCATTAGCCGACTACTCTAACTCGCAAACTATGGAAGTTGGTGAAACTCTGGAACATCAGCCTGTTATAGTTTTGAGTGATACTGGTAGCACTAACAATTCTATGGACAGTGAGACTGTTGACCGATTGGCCCGTCACATTGAAGATTATGACAGATTCAAAGTAAAGATCATTGATGGACGGATTTTCACTTGTGATAGCAAAGGTTCAAAGATAAAATTGATTATATAGGGCCAGAAGTTTCATGCAACGATTACTACACTGAAAAATCAACCTGTTGCTTACACTCTCAAAAAGTGGAGACCATACTTACTTGATCAACAGGTTGTGATGCGTTGTAGATAGTCTATGGCTAAAGTGCTAAAGAGAAGCTCCCTGAGATTGATGTTGCTCAGCCTTGAGGATAAGGCTGATTTGAAGAGGGAGGAACTGTTAGGACCCTTTTTCTAAGCTTTTGAATAATATTTGTTGAGTCTATTTAGTCCAATTGTTTATTGAGTCGGTTTGGTTCAGTTAGAGTCAAGTAGAGGTTTATTTAATATTTATTTATTATTAGAGTTCAAGTCCTAATG